TATATATATATATATATATATATATATATATATATATATATATATATATGATAATTCAATTTTATTTCCAATATTTTTCTAAACTTATTGTAAAACATGAAATTCAAATTCTGTTTTGAATTTTCAAAAGATCTCCTGAATTCATATTTAAGACAGGGGGCAACCATATACATCACGGGTGCAATAACTACTAAGGATGAATGTTGATTCCTCATCAACATTTATTTATTTATTTATTTATTTTTATACTTGTTTCTGTGCTCTTTTGAATTTTATAATTTCATTAATGTCATTCATAGTTAATCAATGTGGTGTTCACAATATATTTGGCTAATTTTTTGAATTTGTTTGAAATGAAAATTTTATACTCCTATCACGTTAGGATTTCGGAATTCACGAAAACAACAATATTTTTATTATAATAAATAATATTTTTTATAAACTTAACTAAACATTAAATTATAAAACAAACAAAAAAATGATCATTTTATTCACCTATAGCCACATCAATAAATTAGTTGTAAAATTAGTTTTGATGATTTTTTTTGTCTAATTTGGAAATAAAATATGATTACGTTTAGTTTAGGTTCAGTTCATTTGGTTTTTTAGAACCTGAGTAAAATAAACTGAATTTAATTCAATTTAGATAAATGTATTTAAAATAAATCAGTTACAATAAAATTATTTCCAAATCGTTGAATTCAGATTCAATATCAAGTTAATCAAGAGAATATCCTTAAATGGATAAAAAAAAATTTAATTAACTACAATTTTAATTTTATTTGATTCCACATAATCTTTGTTAACTTTAGTTTCCAACAACTTAATTTTGGTACGAGATATATTTTATCAAGCGACTAGATGTTGTCACATTCATACTAATTCAAAGTCAAGTTTTATATATTAGATATCAAAATCTATAACCTAATAAAATGTCTTTTAGGCATGTAATCAATGGAAAATATTTTTTAAATAATTTAAATTACAATGGGCGGAGATATTATAATCAATTTTACCGTTTATTATTTACAATAAGTACAAATTATGGAATGTACACTCGTGGACCAACTGTCCCTAAACAGCTGACTTTGAAATTGATATATGAAGAAAAACAAGAAGAGTAGGACACAAACTTACAAAAATATCCAGGAGAATGAATTGGTTTTTCCAAATAGCAGTTGCTTAACAAATTGCTTTTAATCCTTAAAATTAGTTTCAAATTAGACAAATTAAAATTGTAAACCTTTTTTCAGTAAAAATATATCTACAATAAAAAAAAAAACTCGTGAATTTAGTCACTCGTCACGTGAATATCATATTTTGCTACCTAATATCATACCATTCACAATATATATATATATATATACCATATGGTTTTGGTTTTATTTTATGACATTTTCTCATTAATTAAAATTCTACGATTTTTTTTTTATCTTCTCTTAACGCAGATGGGTTTGGATTGGACACACGAGATGTTGACTTGAGGTTAGGGGCATGTGATCTTCTGCTCCAATGATTGGTAAGTTATGTCTCTGCCGTTCTCTATGCTTTTCATATTTATTTGTCCCTATTGGAGGATATGCATATATATGGAAGTTCTGATTGTATTTCCTTAACTGTTATTTTAGGTTAGACAAAGGATTTGTATATTAGACAAGAATATGTAATTCTCTTCAACACAAGAAATACGAACGCCGTTTCCTTGGCTTAAAATCTCTCTACAAGTTCTGATACGTGACATGGTATCAGAGCCCGACGCTCACACACGTTCGATCTAATCTCATCTTCATGCATTCCGGCGCCGACACTCTTTAACGAGCCAAGACCCAGTGATTATGCCACGACGAACGATTTCTCCTTACGACTTGACCCCGAGCGACAACCCTGGACTTGTTCTCTCGCAGCCACCTTTGCGCGGGGACAACTACGATGAATGGGCCATCAATGTGCGACAGGCCTTGAAATCCCGAAAGAAGTTTGGTTTTGTTGACGGATCTATCCCGAAGCCTGCAGCCACTTCACCCGACTTTGAAGACTGGGACACCAACAATGCACTCATCGCGTCTTGGA